CATCTTCCAGGAAGTGAGTGTGTCTGTGCCAATTTCAACAATCAAGATACAACTTTACCAGAGTAAATACAGAGGGTTTAATGCAAGATGAAACTATTGGTTTGCATCAAGAACAGGAAGACTAAATGAGTCATTTAAAAGCTTGTACAGTCCTGGAACAATAATCTATGGGTAAATGAGACAAATATCATGATGGGAATGGTATGGAGAAGGGAAGGAACTGCTCATGATCCAAAGCATACAGGTACCACCCCTCCTGTGAAGCGCGGTGGAGGTGTTGTTATGGCACGGGCATGTATTATTGGCCATGGAGCTGGTTCTGTTGAATTTATTGATAATGTGACCGATGACAAAGGCGGCAGGATTAAATTTGAATGTGAGCTATACTGCCCTACAAAGCCTAAGTGCAGTAACCACATATTGGGTAAGATGTGAGTTACACAGTTTTGGGCCTGAAAGTATACTGAGGTCAGGATTTATCTGGACAGAAATTATACTATGGTGAGTCAGTTAATTATAATCTATCATAGAAGTGCTGACTATTTATTTGTTGGGACAGCAAACAAACTCTGAAGCCATTTTTTACTGTTTAAATTATTGCGGAGTGACTGCACTTAGCCTTTGTAGGGCAGTATAGAATCAACTTTGTTTCAGCTAAATGCTTCAAAACTCATTGGACAGCACTTAACAGTGCTGATGGACAATGACTCAAAGCATAATGCGAGAGCAACCCAAGATCTTTTTATGGCTAAGAAGTGGAATGTGCTACAACAGCCAAGTTGATCACCTGATCTGAATCCAGTTGTGCATGTATTTCACATGCTGTAGGCTAACCAAAGGCAACAAAGCCCCAAGAACAAGCAGGAACTGAAGGCCGCTGCAGTGAAGGCCTGGTACAGCACCACCAAACATGTAGCCAAGCAAAAATGTGTCACTGACCAAATACTGATGGACCTGAGTATGTGCATATAATCCAACGCTCTGTGGAGCCGAAAGGTGACTGACCTCTCTGAAAGCGTCTCTGAGCTCCTTGAATCCAATCATATCTGCAGTTTCCGCCAGCATTTTTGGCCCCATCAGTTCAACAAAGTCGTCGAAGTCAACTCTGCCACCACCTGCAGGAGAGAACGAGGTATTGCAATATGCCTTTCACAGACAGCAGGACCAAACCAGCACCTCTTCTCTCCACCAGCTGCTTATCATTGTGCTTTGCTGCCCTCATGGGACCTCTTTGCGTATCATCTTTTGTTAATCAACGCTTGCGGTGCTTTCTCTCTTATGTTCTGAAATCAGGCCCGGGCACCTCCAACAGGCACTGATGAACCACCATGCCTCTTAAAACTTTGAACTAATTTCACTGTTATTCCCATCATTTGAACTTCCTGCATCTTCAGCGAAAAGATAACCTAACTGTAACCTGTTCAACGATGTCAAATCATTATAATTGCCTTCCTGCTGTGATTCATTCATGTACTTGCATCATTTGACCAAGCCAGCCAGCTAAGAAAGGACTCCCCCAATATAGCTGGATTCCTCTGGAGTTTTCTTCTCTTTGGGGCATTTTTTTCACTTCTTTTTGAACCTTTTCTTTCAGCTGCATAGTTCTTTTAACCTCATTTTGTATGTTGGGGGTTAGGGCCAAGCGTTTACCCTAATGTTTCATCTTAAAATGTCTTTCCAACGGTCCTTTATCATAAAGCACTACAGAAATAAAATTGAATTGAACCGAAATGATGGAGCGGGTGACTCACAGATCTTTTGGCTCAGCTCGATCAGTTCCATCTCTGTGGGCATGTATCCCATGGTCCTCATGCATTCCCCCAGGTCCTTACAGCTGATGAAGCCGTCCTTATCCTTATCAAACTCCCTGAAGGCGTCCCGCAGCTCTACATACAAAGATTATGGCAGCACAGTTATGGAACAGCTCAAATAAGCACAGTAAGACACACAGTAGCCTGAAAACAGGGTGACTGAAGATGGCATGGCCAACATTTACAAGTGGGGATGAATTGGCTACTTTGTATGGGACATGAGAGTGCATTGGCTGCTTTGTTGAGAGATTTTACGGGGGGTTGATGGTTTATATTGAACTACCTTCAATTTCCTCTGGCCGCAATTCTCTGTCCTGCAGTTGCAAAAGAGATAAGGACAGGGAAAAAGAGGAAGAGAGGGAAGGTTTGGGAGGGAGAGGGGCAGTTGGGGTCTATATTATGCCACTAGAAACTATAGTAAAGTGAAATAGAAACAGAGCAGACTGTACAATACTGTCACTGTGTGTTTGGTGGATTTTGCAACATCCTGTGGTCACTGTCATGCACTAAAGTAGGTTTTCAAACTGCAAAATAATTGGAGGTCCATTCAAAATCAAGCCAAATAAGTGAAGCACATTGAGTTCTTTAACCTCCCCCACCATGATTTTCAGTGCCGTGCGTTGGAGGTATAAAAGCCCTTCATTCACCTCACTTTAAAATGCATGTTTACCCTGTAGAGATTGAACCATGAAATAATAGCTAGAAAATTCTAAATATTTGAAATTGAAGTATTTACTTGACCTTTAAACAAAATGTAAAAACATTTTTGAAAAAAGAATCTGAATATAAGAAATACACTTTTTGTCACATTTTGTATTTTATACAGTGAGGTCCAGGTTCAAAAACTGGTTTCACTGCAATGATATGGCTACTTTGGGGATTACAGTAACATCAGCACAGATTCATAAAATTGGGCTCATTGAATTCATAAGAGTCTCAGTTTTCCAGTCATACCCAATTTATGAAATTCTAAGGCTGTTTAGGGACCCCAGTATGCAGAAATATTGAAATACAATCAGCAAAAATTACACATTGATACTGTATTGCACAAAAACTGCATGTTTTTACTCTAAACTGCATGGGATTATCATTAAAAAAAGAGCATGTCTATAAGGGGAGACTCATACGTGGGTATTGCTAACCCATTTTCATTTAGATATCTTGAGGCCAGAGGTCAAAGGACCCCAATGAAAATGACCATTTTTCCTTTTTCAAAATTAAGCCTAAATTTGGAGCATTACTTGGCCCCCGTCCCTACAAGCTAGCACGACAGGGGACTAGCAATGGAAGCCTCAGGTCTTCTGGTGTCACAGGATACCACTTCATTTGTGCTAGTTTAAAAAATGAGCCTCATAGATACAGTGATGTTGACGGAGATTGCTGGCACTCCTGTGGATCTCTTAGGGTTAAATACTTGTAGTATCACATCTGATGCATACATTTTCAACTCAATTTTACTGTAAAATAAGCTACAAATTATTTTGTATTTATGATTTGTATCCATAGACTGTATAAAAAGATGGACGCAGCACCCGGGTCTGAAAACTGAGGCCAATGTAGAAATCTCTAAAATTTGCATTCTATTTAATGGCCAGCAGATGGCGACGTCGGTGGTTGCAGAAATTAGTTCAATGTTATAGAAGTCTACTGGGAAATGACCCTACATTCCCACCTGATTTATTATTTCAATAAGGATTTTCCACATTACTTTTTGGTATCTATTGCAAGTTTCAAGTCTCTTTGTCTCATTGTCTTTTTTTAATAAATAATTTCGAATTCACTGTAGACTTATGTATGGGTCTTGATTATTCAGTACATTCTGTAAACTGTTTGATTGCTCATTTGGCAATCTTAACTGGGAATAGGCTGAGAGCACTTGTGCATTAAAAGGTGAGAGGCTTATATTCTCTTAACGGCATTTCTCAGAAAGTCCGTCTGGAAATTCGAGGGAGTTCAAGTTGTATAAATTATTTTTTGTAGAAAAAACTGGTGGTTGCATTCCACTCTCCGCCACACACTCAAGTCAACACACACATGCACTCTCTCTCATACATATGCACACACTGATGTACAGACATATGCATACGCACACGCATACACCCACGCACAGGCATACACACATTCATCTATTTCAATAGAACAATCTGTGCAGCAGTATTTTGGGGCATTTGTGGTTTATTGTGACAGCTTGAGAGAATAACAATGATATTAAAGCTTGAACAGCAGTGTGTGTGTGTGTGTGTGTGTGTGTGTGTGTGTGTGTGTGTGTGTGTGAGAGAGAGAGAGAGAGTTTGCTCCACCCTCCATCATTATCTCTTTCTCCATCTCTCGTTCTCTCTTTTTCTGCTTTTCCAGCTTTAATAACCTTCTCTCCCCCTCTTTTTCTCTATCTCTCTATTTCATGTTTACATCAGCTCATTTCACTCTTTTCCTCTCTAATCTGGTTCCTTGATTGCTGCCCACATGTGGGTCGGGTCAATCTCTCCTGAGTGTGTTCTGTGTGTTTAAGCTCCAGCCCTCTAACATCAAAATGCTGCTTTTACTGCGCATATCTGGTGCTCCAGTTACCCCTGCCGTGCCCTTTACATCCACCCAGCCTGACTGACAGTACAGACTCAAATAATCAGCCTGTATTCGTCTCTGCTAGAGCAAATTATTAGTTCACTTTGCCAATATTCAGTTTGGTGAATGATTGCAGCGAGCTGTCTTTGCAGCAAATGGGTACAGTTGAACAGTTTTGAATGAATGTTAGAGTACAGTTGAACTGTTTTGAATGAACGTTAGATTCAATTGAAATCTCTTCACCGATCGCTTTTTAATAGCATGAGCTACAATGGAGGTTCACTGTCACTATGGCTCATCTCATTTTAGAGGGCCTGATTCACAGAAGCTCTTCTGACTAGAGGATATTATCTATTACCCGACTAGGGGGGCCAGGGATTGACGTTCCCTTCTTCTTCTTCTGAGGTTCCGGTAGTCTGTACACCGTCCGGCGTAATGCTGCCCTCCACAGTTCATAACAAGACACTATTCAAATGTTCTCACCATTCGCTCTCACTCTCATACCTATTGGCAATTTAGTGTCACCAATTAACCTGACATGCATGTCTTTGGACTGTGGGAGGAAACCGGAGTACCCGGAGAAAATCCACGCGAACCCGGGGAGAACATGCAAACTCCACACAGAAAGGCCCCAGGTCGGAATCAAACCCACGAACTTCTTGCTGTGAGACAACCGTATTAACCACTATGCCACCGTGCTGCCCGATTGACGATCCCTCTGGTGGTTACCAGCGGTATTGCAGCTCATTTAGTCTCTGGTGACAAAAAGCTAATTTCCTCTTTTAAACATCCCCCAACAGGTGCGCAGCCATTTAACCATCACTAACCATTTCAAATTTTCTTCCGTTGTGACATCTCATGGGGACATGACCGTCCAGAGGCACGGAGGACTGATCTACTTCAGCCAACCTGTTAATTAGTTCCTTTTTTACTCTGGGTGGTCTCTCCCCCTTGTCATAAGGACAGATTTTGAAATGGTCTTTAATGACTAATTGGCTTTGGACCTAGTGACATAATTGGGGATCTTTAAGCTCATTCAAAACTATGGCTCCAGTGTGGTGAAATCATGATATAATTATGAAAATTTAAAAATGACTTTTCTTGGGCCTAAGAACTCTAGAGATAGATTTTAGTTTACAGATTGGCAGATTCTGATTATATTTTTGTTTCCATGCATTTCTTCAAATTTGGTTCCCAGTGCACTTGCCTAGGTGCCAAACAGCTCAGTCTTCAAATATGGAAACCTCAATGACTTCGCTTGCTACGCCACTGAGCAGTTTCCACAGGGCTGCATGGAGCAGTCCACAGAAGCTGGCTCCAGGTTTTATACTTCTTGGTGAGGCTTACTCAGACTGTCATAAAGTGCAATGAACAGTCTTGAATGTAGCAAACATGATGTCACAGGGTAAAATTGAACAATCATACATCATATGAATATTACACTGAAAAGCACTGCACAGAACCAAGTGTTTTACAAAACTCTAGAAGTAAAACAATGACAGATGCTCTATACACAAATATTACCAGTTGGAAATTTAGAGGTATCATGACTGAATGACGTTTTTTGTTTCACAGAAGGCAACATCTTAACAGCCTTAAAAGTTAAAAGTTTTTAATTTTGTGTACATTATAGGCATACATATCTGTCTATCTGCTAATCTCTCTGTCTAATAAAAAAAAATACTTGGAACGGGACGTTTGCTGTTATGCCATTTCTCCACTTGAAGACTTGCAGAGCATGCTATTATGTGCGTGCATGTATACGCATGTATTAGAGTGTGCGTGTGAGGGAGTATAATTCTAAATGGATCATTGCTTCCTAAACGTGGATAATCTCACAGTATAATCCCAGTGAATACCTCTCATATCATCCTCTTCTGGGTGTGAGAGAAAGAGGGTTTAGTACACACTGTATTTACATTTAGAAAAACCCCATTCATGTAATGCAATCTTAAACATTACTATATAAGAAATCATATAATATATGCAAAACATTTAAAGTTTCTTATGCATGTGGCCAAATAAAGGAGGTAGCTATGTAGTGGGTGTGGTCTTGTGTAGATAGGTATCACCACTCTGTGGAGAATACCTCTAGGTGTGCCATAGAAAGACCAGTAACATCCACTCATGTTTTACAATAGACAGAGTGAGATATGTGAAACTGGTGCAGATGTTATTTACCTTGTATTTAATGTATTAATCCAAAATATGAGTCTTTATGTACCGGGTCAGGGTTAGATTTAGTTTGTTTTCAGAAAAAGGATGGTGTTTTTGTCACTGTGAGGTGAAATTTGTGTGAAGTGATGTGTGTGTTTGCAGAGGAATTGAGGCCTCATCATTGCAATTGGGAATAATAATCACATTTAATCCTCTGTCCCTCACTTTGATTGGCAGCCTGCCATACTATTTGACCTGCAATCATGTATTTGGATGGGAAAGCCTTTTATTAGGTCTGGAGGTGCGGTGGTTCAATCTGTGTGTGGATTATATCCTGTTTGGCTGCCAAGGTCTGATTACATGGTTGGCCATGACTGGCCCTCATCCATTCACAGAGTGCATTTCCTGCCACACAATTTAAGGGAAGGCAAAATTTCCAAAACAATATCATATCAAAGGTGCAAATCAGCATGGATTTGAATGACAGAGTATTTGAACAGAGGTTACAGGGGTTTAATTCTCCAGCTGAACTTCTCTTTGTTTTGATTACTTCATACATTTTGCCTTTATCTATGGAAGTTCCATCAAGAACATGCTTCTCCTTTTTGAGGATGCCTAGGAAGAAATGGCAGATAGAGCCGTTTTACCAGTGGAAGTAGTGGGTGATGGAAAGAAATAGAAGTGAAGCCACTGGAGCAGTTTTGGGGCGAATGCCCTGTTTGAGGGCCCAGTTGCAGAGCTCCTCCCAACTTCATCTCTCCTGATTCAGATCAGAATCCCAAACCGCAGGGATTTGAACTAGCAACGCTACAGCCACTAGTCAAGTAGCCTATCTCTAGCCTACCATACCACACAAACTGAACTTAGAGTTTATCAGACGAATTATTAATGGTAGTCACTATAGCTGATTCTAACATATCTCATTATTTGTTTGAATTATTAGTCTTTAAAACCTCAAAAGCTGCTGCATTTCTGTATATATGTTGTTTTAACTTGTGAAGAAATTTTTTCCAACTTCATTCATGGATGGAAAGATCCATGAATCTGATCTGCATGATTTTGCATTTGAAGTGGAAATGTTAAGAGCAGATTTTCTAAGATTTCTTCACTAACATATGTAAACAGTCCACAGCTGAACTGCTTCTCTAAAAAGCCAGCTGCTTTAGGTAGAGCATGCTCTTTGAAATGGTAAAATGGTTCAAAGAAAGTTTATGCTGTCATGTAGATGACAATTTTGCATGTCAAGAGAAGGAGCCAAAGGATCCCAGGCAGCTCAGAACATTGTCACAATGCAATTGAAATGTTTCATCAATGTTGCAACATCACCACAACATGACTGCAAAATTAATAGAATGCTTCCCGTTTGCTGTGATGCAGTTAAGAGAAGACTGGGATTATTTAAATAACTGATGCACTTCTTAATCAAGGAAGACTAAATTATCTGGTGGTGGGTCGTGATGGATTTAGAGGTATGATCCTGGTGCTTAATTCATGAGCTGCCGCTAAATACATCAAATTCCATTAAGAACTGGCAGTGTGGAGTTCACACAGAATTACTACACTGCAGAGAGTACTGACTATAATCTCATATCAGTGCTTTTATTCAATGTTGCCAAGTGGCAATGTTTGTATACCATATGCGGGGAAGAAAAAGAGAGGTCCAAGTACAGACCCTGGTTTACTCTGTGTCATTCTCTATTGTGATTAAAGGCCTATGTGTGAATTTTGGTTGTACTGTGTTCTATAACTTCCTTACACTCAACTTACCAACAGTTATTGCAACATCAGTTCAATTAAAAACATTCTAATCTCATGTTTGTGACCTCATACCATAAAGGGTTAATAGCGGCAGTCCACAGATGGCAAAGTCACGCAGTACATCTAATCCCCCTGTGGGATCTTTGCATGAGGTTGCTGTCCATGATGTTGTGTGTATCTTGAAAGGGATGTTTACATCACTGCAATCCTAGCGTGGTATGGTATATATTGCATGAGTGTCACAAGGATTTGGAGCAGCACCACTGTGATCACACTCATTAGGGAGTGCACGTCACCACCTACTGACCTGTCTGTTCACAGGGTCTATTGCAATATGTCAGCACATTCAGGAGGCAGTGATATAAATCAGCATTTCCTTTGCCATTCCATGATTGCTTCTTCCTTACTTGCGAGATGGCTGCTTTTGACTTCATGAAGCCATTTTAATGACTTCTGTCCTCCACTTTAATGATGGATTTTTACTAGTTTTTTAATCTGCTGGCAGGGTGCAGTTTTTTTTTTTTTTTTTTTTTTTTTTTAGGAATCCATGCATGTACTCCCTTGCATGCATGTTTTTTTACATTATCGGCAAATTTTCACTGGTATTTTTAAGGCATTTTTGCAGGCATCTGCACATTGTCGCTTCTTATGTGATAAGATTGAACAGCACAGCCCAGCACAGATGCGTGCAGTTGGCCTACCTGTCCAGTGGGGTTATTACCTGCATGGTTGGATTAGCTCAGTGGTTGGGTTATTATTTGTGGGGTTAGGTTACCTTTGTGTTTGGGAAATTGTCTGTGCAGTTGGCCTACCTGTGCGGGCTCTTACCTGGCCAAAGACAGAGTCCACAATGGGCCTGAGCTTCCTTCTCTCCATGCCGTACAATAGCAGCCCTTCACCGTCAGGTTCGCCCCCGGGCGGGGCAGACAGGCTCAGGGCTTTGTGTCGTGGGGAGCGGCCACCCCCCAGCCCATCCACACTGGCGTTGCTGGACGAGGTGCTCCACCGCCTTAGCTTCTCCATCTTCTTTTTTATGGAGGCCTGCGGGTGAGAAAACCCACGACTGTAAATTACTGCTATTTTTTAAGCTCTTGTCCAGAGTTGATTAGATTAAACTGGTGCTATCCCCCCTTAGCAGTGTGGGGTGGTCAGCTGTCACTAATCATACTGCGGCTGCACTGAGGCTAGACCCACCAACCACCTGAACCACATACATTCACTTCTATGCTACAGGCAGGGGCGTAGCACGAGGGGGGAAAAGGGTACTGATTACCCGGGCCCACAGTGGGAGGGGGGCCCTTGAGAAGCCTGGAATGAAAAGTGTAATTTTTTTTATTAATTTATTTTTTTCTTAGTAATTAATGTCATTATTGAATCAAAAGCAACTAAATGGATTGGTCAAAAGATTAAAGTTGGTCTCAAATAGAGTAAAATCAAATACTAGGGGCCTCTGCTCCTCCTTCTAAAATATACAAATGGTATAGTCCACCCCTTGCTTTCTTGGCGGGAGAGCAAGCCTAAAAGGAGAGGAGAAAGGTGACTAAACAGGAAGTGTGATGCCGCCTTAAGTTTATGGCTTCCAACCTCATCAAGCCTGGAGGTCGCTGGAGCCAACGAGATATTTAAACTAAAGGCGCTACGTTGGTCGTTCCAATGTGTGCAGAGCTGGCCGCCACCTTATGACGGGCGTGCCTGCCGCTTGAACCCATGTAAACAAACACGCTCTGGTTAATATTTCGGTAAATATCATTAATAATCATTCAGCAGCGTTTTGATTTCCGGCCTTT